TTGAGGCAGGAGATGAAATAAGCCAAAGAGGAGTGGAAAGGTGGAAATGCAGGAAGCACTTCCAAGATTTTTGCTCATGAGTACAGCAATGGCCAATGTTTGTTGTACAAATGGCTGCAGCAATGCCTGCAAAGTCTCAAACCAGACTTTGAACTTCTAGGGAATGTTTGGCTGCGCTTCCCTAAGGAAGTCATCTTGTTTTGTCTGCACACAATAATTGTAACAGGCTTTACAGACTGTAGCTTTTTACTGGCAACAAAAATTTCATTTTGGTAAATTCAGTCCAGCAGACCACTTTCATTATATTCTGAATATATTCACAAGTTCATAATAGGGTAGATAATTCCTTCCTTTGTAGCTGGGTTGTGTTGGAGGGGCTTTTTACAAGTCAGTTTCTTTCTAGTTTTGTTATTTTGTTGCTCTGATATTGCCTGAACCAAGACAGCAAATGAAGTGATTACATGAGCTAGTGAATGTTACTTGGATCTTTTCCCTTTTCTTCGCTTCAGTATCCACTAAATAAGTGAGAGAAAGACAGCTGCCTGAAATCTTTGCGGGGAAAAAAAAAAAAAAAACATAAACAAGAGCAAACACATACATTAAATAGCTTTGGTATTTTCCAAAGTCCAGACAATAAAGGTTGTTTAAGGAAAATATACACAAGGAGAACATAAAATTTTCCCTGACTTGTTAGCCAGCTGTAAGACTGATCAGCAAAAGCAACACAAAAATAAAAAAAAATAAAAAGAGCCCTTTCATTCTTACAACAATCATTGTTATTTTATTAGCTGAATGTATGGAAAAAACCCTTGAGATATAGATAGATAGATAGGTAGATAGATAGATAGATAGATAGATAGATAGATAGATAGAAGATATATAGTACCTATTTTCATATAGGTGTGGAATTATCACATTCCAGTTAGCTACAATGTGAAGACAATTGCTCATTGACAGCTGTTGGGAAGATAAAGTTCACATGCTTTCAAAAAAAAAAGTCCCAAAACAAGAAAACACCCTGAAAACTTTTGACTGTTAAAGTCTATTATCCATTATGTTGTTCTTTACGTCAGTGAAGGATCTCATAGAAATGCTGCTACAATAACAATGAAAAACACATTGTTTTACATGAAGCTTCATTTGTGAATTTCCTGTGGCTAGTGCATTTCTTTCCCAAACTGAAAGAAATGAAGTGTCATGTGTATCAGCTTGTACTTCATTGCTCACATTCCTCTTTATGTTGACGAGAATTTTTCAGTACAAGCATTCAAGAATGGTACTTTATTTAAAGATACTGCAGCTATGTTAAGTAGACAGTGTTGTCATTATTTAGCAGCTATGGTAGACTGTGGATGCAGTCCTGTTGATTTTATTAAAAAGAGGCTGTCAGGATCTATAATTCACACATCATTAACTGCTTCATTAAGACTACAGCAGCTCTGTGAGCCCCAAACTTGTAGCAGTTGCATGACAATACAGGTAAGTGTTCACTGGTTGAGACATGCAAGCATCTCCAGTGATTTGTTCACTGCATAATTAAAAGCCAGTAATGTTTTTTAGGACACACTTTTTTCAAACTACAAGCGTAAATGGATAAAACACGTTCACTTAGAATTTATTTGATTTAAGTTAAAAGCATTACTTTGCAATGAGGTGTGCAATCTCACATCATCAATCAAAAAAAGGCAATAACATACCAAAATGTACAGTCATTTAAGTATTTTCATATGGTTTGGGTTTTCTTTACTGGAATATGAAGCAGCCTGTGTGCTGAAGCATCTGCTGAAGCAGAACTGTTACAGACATGAGCAATGTAAATCATTAAGAATATAGAATTAATAGAGCATTAATTATGCAGAGAAAAAAATCATTTTCCTATTATTTTTATTGTGTCCTGGCTTGGTTTGAGACAAGTTAGGAGGACATTTCCACTCCTGCTTTTCCCTCTTCTCTTTTGATAGACATTTCCTTCCCTCTTTCCCTGATCATTCTGTTAAAGCTACCAGCTCAGAGATAAACACATAGCATGGATTTTGAACTGGACTTTGGAGCCTGATAGGCTTGAGTAGATTTGGAAATAAGCAAAAGCATTTGCATGTCACAAATTATGTGGCAGCCTTCTTGGTGGGATGCATGAGCAGTCCTCACAGCAGCACCAAGCTCTTCCTCTCTCTTCTCCATGACCTTTTTGCCTTCCTCTGTCCATGGTTGCCGTTATTTGTACACCTCTGGGCTGAAGAAGTGGGAACTGGTCTGGCAACTCATGCAGCTGGCTTTGGTTCAGGCACCTTTAAAGCCTTGTCCTTCAGAAGAGATCTTTGACACCAGGACACTGCTCATATTCTGCAAACACATTTGCTTGGTAGGAAAGGCTTCCTTTTGTTGTCAGCCACCACAGATTTCCAGGCTTTTTCACCTTGGGAGCTGCAAGCATACCATGCATGGGGTCCCTGGGAAGAAGTCGCCCAACTACCCCAGTGACTACAATGTCCTCCCACAACTCTTTTACCTGGAGCACCCTGTTTCCTTGGGACACCCCAACAGCTCAGCCCCACAGCTCACCCTGGCTCAGGCACACAGGCTGTTGTGGCAGTCACTGGGCTGGGGCTGCTGCATCTGCTCATCACCATCGATGCTCCAAGCTGGGGTGTCCTGACAAGTCTGTAGCGGCATTCCTGGGCCCAGCATCCTGTACTGACACAGCCAGCAACAGCAGCCTAACAGAGCCCTAAACCAGTGCTCTGGCTACCTACAAGTGTTCCCTGGCAATCAGAAAACCGAAATCTGCTTTCTCTTCAAGAAAACAAGCAAAAGTTTTCCTGATGGTTTGGTGGCCCTGTGTGAGTTTCAGTGTGATTCTAGCTTTAGGGTTATGGTGAAGAGAGGAGTAATGCCAAAGCTACTGTAAGAGTAGATCTGCAAGGGGGCTCACAGACAAAGCTAAAGGCTACCTGGCAGTCACACTTTTCCCATTTTTTATCATGGATCTTTTGGAGGCTGTTAAATAAAATAAATGCCATGATATTGTATTCATTGTTATCAGTCAGGAGCAATGTGCGAGGCATAATTGACTGAGGTTACCTCAGTAGTTCATTGTAAATTTTCTAACTTAATTCCTTGAAGATTTAATAACAGTATAAATACCATAGGTGCTTCCATAAATTAAATTTTTGTCAGCAAACATATTGGACATTCCTTGGAGCCAGTACGTGAACATCTCATGACATTTTTGTAGGGAAATATTCAAATTTTTATTTTCAGACTGTTTGTTTGTTTGTTTGTTTGTTTGTTTCTCCTCTGCATTTACTTAGAAAGATGTGCAGACAGAAATCTACTCAGTCACAGTGTATTCTTTCAAGGTTAAATCCCAGATCTCATGGGGAATGTATTATTCTCTCTGTACAGTGTCAATGTTTCTAATAATGTTCTAATCAAGGAAAGAAAAATTCTCACCAATAGCACAGTGCAGACAGCTATTTTTGCTAAAGGACAGTGGCTGCATAAGAGTCACCACTCACAACATACTTACACTTTATAAAGATGTCTAGGCCAGAAAACTTTGACTAGGCTAATCTTAATAGGTTTTGGTGTACTAGTGATTACTGAGAAATAAGATTAGCTGTAATTTCTAAGCCTTTGTCTTTAGTGCTGTTCAAAAGAGTTGAGCACAAAAGAACAAAGCTCCATGTCTTTTTTCTGTATTATCACTCATGAATACTCTCGCTCTCAACAGCAAAAGCACTGACTGCATTGGGAGATGGTGGATTTTGTGTGGACAGGAAGGGTAGTCACTGTGTAAACAATTAGAGAACAATAGTTTTCACTGTGACCTTGCAACGACCTTTACCATGAAGTATAAACTTCATTGCTAGAAGAAAACCCAAATTCCTTCCTGTCTTTCCAGGACAGATGGACCAAGACATGGTTGTAAATTCAATATGCCCAAGACCATTCTCTAGCCGACCTACACAGAACAGTACACATTCTTTCCTCTAAATTATGCTATCATTCAAAACAAGGCAACCAAATCTGAACCTGTAACTTGGGTATAGGTCCATCTCTTGCCCACCAGACAGTGTGGGCCAAACCTGGGATGAAGGAGCCCTGGTATTGTGTCAGTATGGATGGGTAAACCTAGTGCCCAGCATCTTAAGGAGCCCAGGTCTCCTTAATTTAGCAGTACAGAAATAGCAGGAGTCATATTTTGATCCTTCTGAAACTTCCTGAGGAGTAAATCTACTCCTTGCAGGAAAACCTGCAGGAAATACAAGGAAGGTAAGCAGTCAGCATCTGTGTAACTCAAATCATATTTTACAAATTTTTCCAGCTCAACTAGTATATTCCTTTCACAGCCTTATGCTTTCCCTGCAACTTGTATTCAGTTATCAAGCTGAAAAAAATGGATGAGAAAAATCCAATCACTTCAGATATTCCTAGAGGACCCGATTGTTTGGAGAGCTGTTTGTGTCCAGAGCAGGATGACAAAAGGATTGTATCTATGGTAAATCAATGAGCACTAAATGCTACAGAAAGTTAGCAAAGCTTAATTAATTGGTCCCGCAAGATACCATTGGGCAATTCAACAGTAAAATATTTTTCCTAAGAGATCATCCAACTTCAGAAGAGCTGAAAAACCGAGCAATCTGCAATTGTGGACTGCAAACAAAAAACCATGGAGCTCAGCATCTGTAAATCTTTGTGACAAATTATTGCAATTTAAAAAACAAACAAACAAACAAACTGGAAAAGAACAGAAATGGTTTTCCAATAGATGCATAGCGAACTAAAGAGAAACTGCCCTATCTATCCCCTGCAATTCCAGAAACCTGAAGACAAAACAAAAAGATTCAGTGGAAGCAGGAAGTCTATGTCCAACATTCTCACGATGCTTCTCCTGGTAAGAGAGAATCTTTGCTATCATTATCATCATCATCATCATCACCATTTAGTGTACTAAAGCAACCATGGTGTTTGCACGTGCTTAAGTCATGCAAAATTAAAAAGCCCCCTTAGGAATATCTAGATATCACCATGACATTTTTAATATAGATACATACATATAAAAAACCTTTTTTCTTTTTTCTTTTTTTTTTAAATAGACGTATATGCCGGCTGGATCTCAGCATGGCGGATCTTCAGACTTTATATCTTACACTTTAACAATGCTTCAAGAATCAGCTATATATGATGGCCTATATGACCAGTGTTCTGTCTTACAAGAATTTTTATAAGACCCTCTAAGACAGTCCTTAACACACTGCCTTTCTAAAGAGTAATGTAAATGTCCCTTGCTGGAACCTCATGCCTTAACTTCTCAGTCTTTCTACAACAGCCATGAAGTAAAGTTGCTTTCCTAGTTGGAGGTATTTTCCTTTCTTTTTAAGACTTCCAACAATGATCAGATGTTCTCAAAACTGAAATTGTCCATTTCTAGCAATTTGCATTCCCCTTCTGACTCACTCTACTCAGGCCCCAGCTTTAAGTGTAGAGGCCAAAAGACAGACAGGGCACAGAGCTGACTTCGCTGCTCAGTGGAGAGGGATTGTTAGTTAATGTGTTCCATGCTGTTTCATATCCCAGCATGATGTGTTGATGTGTTCACAAGAGCATAACATTGTTGACATTGTTCACTTTAATCCGTGATAAACCCCTACAGAGTCACTACCTAACCACTACTTGTACAAGTTTATTTTCCTCACCTATGCATTGTGTTTCACATCTCTTGCACTGTACTTTTTGAGTTTGTGAAGATTATCCAGCAGTCCAGTCCTATCCCATTCCAGTTTGGGAGGAACTATATATATATATAAAAGAGTATACACTCTGTTTCAACATGTAAGTTGTTGACTGAATATATTGAAGAGCAGTCTCAGAGCAGCTGAATGGGAGTCTCTTCTCAATCCACACACTAGTTTGACCAAGAAATGTTGATAGTTATTTTCCAAACAGTCTACCAGTCACATTTGTTCCTACTTCACAGCAGCTTAACACCACAATTCTCCCGCTTGTGTAATACACAGACAAACCTGATACAGTTTGTCTCTTACTCAAGATAGGTAACATCTGGCATTATTTTCCCCATGCCCTATCAGAGAAGAAGATGTGGTTGTTTTACAATTATTTATTCTTTTTTCGTTGACAGTTACACTAGTCCTTGTGATGCCTAAAGATTTTTAGCTTTGTATATATTCTTCATATATTTGTACCTCTGTAGATTTTTAATATATAGTTGTATGGTTTCTAGGACTTTTCCTGCCTTTTCTCACAATAATGTCACCCTTACTAACACATTCTTGAAATTCTGTTTAGTCTTATTCTTAAGAAGAGAATTTCTGACAAGGACATCTTGTTTTCCAACAGAACTTAAGAGACATAACATGAAATGGGGCTAAGAAGCCCCTGAACCAACTCCAAGGGCTGTCCCAAGGATGGGTTATTGGATGTAGCTGCTAGATATACTAACTAATTAACCTTATAAAAATTGTAGGAATACTTCATCGTGTGCACAGAGCCACATTTGTCCCCCTGAAACCCTACATTAAAGAGTTGTTTTTTATACTATCACTCTTAATACCGTTTGGAAAGTTTTTATTCAAGCCATTACATCAAGTGTGTTTTACTATTTTTTGTAGTATTATTCTGTGAATTTAAATATGAACTCACCTCCTAGCCTCAGCTAACAAGCTGTACTAACCTGGATTCCCATTTTCTTCACCACACAAAGGTGGTGGAATTATTTCTGCACCATGGGACTAAAAAGAAAACCAGCCAGTACAGTTTGCCATTTTGCTTTGACAAAGAATCCCTTTTTTTCACACTTGCACAGGCACAAAATAAAAATTCAGAGAGTTTTTAAGCACCTTGTGGCAAGTTAGAGGTTTCAAGCCAGAATTTCTACCAGATGAGATGAGCAGTTTACTCATCTCTACTCTCCCAGCATTTTTGGCACATAACTTCAGAACCATCATAACTTTAAAGCCCAAAGTTTGGAAAGAAAACAAAAATCAGGAACTGGTGATAAAAGGAATAGATAAAAGCCTATCAGCAAGTAAATAAGAATCTCCTGGCATAACCACTTTCTCCCTTGAGGACCTTAGCCTTCTCACATTACTTCTGATGTCAAGCTGAAAATTCTCACAGCTCCTCAGCAAAAACACCTGATAAGTTTCAAGGTGGAACTAGCTTGTGGCTTCAATTTCATTACTGCTTTAAATAGTGTCATTATACTTCAGCAGATGCTGAAGCAAGTGAAACTATTGTCAAAGCAGGCATCAAAATCTTTTATCAAAGCCCTAGAATGACTCTACACATCATAAAATTCAATTGCTTACAGGGTCCTTTTAGCTGTATGGAATCTTGAATCCCAAAGAAGTTTTGTTTTCATATTCATATCATGCATTTCACATTCATCATGTATTATGTGTTTATCAGGTGCTTCATATTTATGTCAGGTGCATATCTTTAATCTTTGTAAAACACTCTTTGAATCTACATATAGGATAGCCTGAAAAAAAATACAGATTACATGAATAGCTCTGCCACAGGTGCTTCATAAAATGTCTGTCCAACATCACTGTGCTAATAGGGGTCAATATATCTCCAGTAATTTCTCAAAAAACAACCATTCTCATTCCAAGAGTATATTCAGCATTAATAGTTCCAAAGACCTTCTGTAATCACACAGACATATAAAGATGAAATTCCTCAGAGTGCTTCTGAAGGCTGGAATCAATGGCAGTTACTATAATGCTATTTATACATCCCCACTGTCAGGTACCATGCACTGCTGGGGTTTTTTTGGGATCTGGCCCAAAGTTATGACATTTCTGGGGACCTACAGTGTATACCAAATTTATGTACATTGCCAGGGATACAATGTGATACACAGAATACACACACCAATCAAAACATTTCTCATGTGGCACTTTTGTGAAAACACAAACCCTCACATACACACGACCCTGATCAGTGCAATGATCTCCTCTGGTAGGCAAATGGCCTTTATCTATCAAGCACTTGTTACTGTTTTCCAGTTTAACATTAATTGAACCAAGCAAAACTTCATTTACAGATAAGTATGTTTTGAAAAAAATTAAATGGCAGCGGCTTTGGAAGTGCTTTTTCTACCATGGAAGTAATGTGAGGACAACTAATTCAAGATGATAATGTTAACAGGAGTTGATAAAGTGTCTGAGTAGAGAGTTGTATGGATTTATCAAGTGAAGCATGTATCTTAAATGTATTAGAAAATTATCATCTCACACTGATTAAGGATGTAACATTTCTCTCCACCAAAATGTGCTTTATGTCTGGGAGGCTGCAATGTGTCTTGCAAATGGCTTCAGTATTTCACAGACAAATTATATATTTCTCACTTCCATGTGTTCTGTCACTAAGTGAATGGAGATGCTGGAAAACTCAGCTCAAAAAAAATGTTCGCTGAATTTCTGTCCAAAGCAGTCATTTCATTACAATCCAACCTTTTTTCAAGGGCTTTAATCCATTTTGAGATGTCTCTCTTGTATTCCCATAGCAGGCTATGACACAGTTAGACAGACATGGGGAAACTTCAGCCCTGTGAACACTTGCTCAAGAGAGACATGTAATCCCTGGCAGTAGTGCTTAATCACATTCCTCAGTCAGGTGTCAAACAGAGCAAAAGCACAAACACACAAGCAAGTTTTGTTTAGAGGACCTCAAAAAACCAGCCAAGTGGCAAATTTGGACATCTGTGCTAGACTGTGGCTGTCCTGTTTTTTCAGTCTAATCTGTCAAGATAACCATTTCCCCATTCTCTTAAACAAACACAGACTTCCTTGTTTAAACACTGCAACAGTTCTAACAGAGCACAGGTTTTAATCATTCTCTGCTAAGTACACGAGCAAGAGGCTCAGAAAAGAAGCAAAACATCTTAAACGTAAGCTGCTGATTTTGCTGTGTGCAAAAGAGCAGGGCATGTGACCCTCCGATTTCAGATGAACTGTAAACAGTGGGCTTGTAAGAAAAAAAATGTGACTCAAAAGGAGAGGCGCTTTTTCTTTTTTTGGCCCCTAATTAAAAGAGGCCAAATGAAATTCAATTCCACTCTGAAAAAAAATTAGAATAATTAATCTGGGGGGAGGGTCACTCTTCCTATAGGGTAATCTTTCCTACATATTCCCTCTATTACGCAGATTATATTAATGTAGCGCTAGTAAAAGCTATTCCATAAGCATTATAATGATAAAATGTGATAAATGCAGCACATTATTCTATAGATGGCCACTGATTTTAATATCAAAATCTCAGAAGATATACCTCTTACAGAAAGACTGTTAGATGTAGACAAGCAAATAAATACAATTAAAATCCATCACCTATTTTTCCTGAATATTGAATCATCTTTTTATTCTCTTCAGCCTTATCCCCTCATTTTCTCTTTTATTAGTTATGATTCATTTCATTCACATCTGTATTATTTATCCTAGATTTTTATTGTTCTGCATGTTGTTCTCTTGCCTCTCTTCAATAATGTTTTGTTCTTTTTCTCCAAAAGGAGTGTTTCTTTTCCATTCATTCTTTAATGTTTTTATATCTATCACCCTTTGGTGACTCACACACTTCCTCTCCTTTTCCTGTAATCTTTCATATCTTCTTTTGTCTGATTCTTTTTATTGCATTCAACTCTTTTTTCTAGTTGGTTTTTTTTTTTTCTACCATGTTATTTTTTTCTTCATCCTTTATCCCCAAAGTCTTTTTTGTCTTGCCATTGAATCCCTTTCTTTATCTCTTTCTCATCAGGGGATTTCCCTACAGCCTAATCTTAAATCTTTTCCTACCCAACATATGGTGCCTTCCACTCTCTCATTCCTGATAGGTTCCTTCTTCCAGTAGTGCTTCAGAGGACAACTTTACATTAACAGAAATGCTATTCTCCCATCTTGCTTTTTCATCTCTTGCTTTATTTACACAACAGCACAGGCTGAGTCTTATCACACGCTTGGCAGTCAGTCTACCCTGGGTCTGGATTCCGCCACGAATGGTCCCAAATATTTTCTACCTGTGAGCCACCTGCGTGTAATGCACGTACATGTGCTTTGTTGGGAGCCTCCTCCTCACTTGGGAACAGGACAAGTCAGGGAAGAAGTCCTCTGTCACGAAGTTTCCTTGGTAGTTCATATAATCTTCCAAGAACTCCTCTTTTATGGCACTCTTGTCAAAAGTGTTTCTCCTTAGAAACCACTGTTAAAGAAAGGAACAAAAAAGAAATTTTTAAAATACTTTATTCCTGGACAACAAAGGAGCCACATCACAAGAATACCTGTGTTTGTCTCTCACACACAGTTTATGCCTCCCACAGTGACTCTGCAGGCTTAGTATCTAATTCAGGCAGCAGCCCTCCTTTCTTCTTTGTTACTCTCCTGTTTTCCAAGACCATCTCACCATGATGTAGGGACAAAGAGCAGGTAGATCTAGAGAAGATACACATCTCCTGCTAGACTTTTGCTCACCTGTCAGGTTACTCAACACTTGGTTACCCTGGTCAAAATGTTGTTACCTAATTCGCAGAGAAAGACTGAGACAACTGGCTTCCATTAGGCAGTCTAACTGCTCTTGGCAAAGACAGCAAACAAAACATCTTCTTCTACTTCTTACAGTCAGGCTAAAAATAATTAGGCATCTGGTTTTATAGCACAGGCTGGATAAAACAATCCAGAAGGAAAGTGTCATGGACAGTGAATCTGAAACACAGCCTGAAATGAAATACAGACAAAACATCATGTTTTCTTGCACAGTGATGTATAGACATTACCCCATGAGTGATGTACAGGCACTGGAAATAGCAAGTCCCATGCCTGAAGGATATTTCTCCTACACAAAAGGTGATCTCCTCAGACTAATACTATAGTTTGAACAAAATAGTAACTCTTAAGTGTTCCAGTGACACAGCTGCTCTTTGTTCTCATTGCTGAATAGTGCCAACTTCCAAACTACTTTTCAGAAAATAGTAGCAGCTGAGGATCATAGGCAGTTCAGATATGGAAAGAAATGGAAAGTGTGAATCAAAGTCCCAGCAGGCATAAATTCTCAAAACCCCCTGGAAACAAAAGACTGAAAATTCACCTAGAAAGTATCTCCATAAGAGAGTATTAGTCATAGTCATGAGGCAAAAGTGAAAAACCAGCCCTGAGCTGACTAATTGAGGGTGGGGAAAACAACAAAACGAAACAAAAGACACAAAAACCTGGCTAGGTCCTGGGACCCAGGTTCTGATTGTCTCCAGAAGTGAGTTACCCTCACACCAATCTCATCAAACCTAACCTGCAGTTTGCTATGGTGGTTCTGGAAGTGCCAAATGCAGAACAGCTGGTTGTCCATACTCTCTGTCTGAAAGCATTGATTTAAAGCTTTGCAAAGATTTCCAGCTGTACTTACACAGAAACCCTTCTGCTGCTGAAGAGTGTAAGCATACTTAGAAAATCATTGAATTTAGAATTTATTTAAAGACAGATTTTAGACGTTTCTAAAATTGTACTGTAATCCTCTGTTCTTACAAAGACATACCCATCTTTGGACCCTCTTTGATGCGACAATCTTGATATTGTGAAAAATTTCATGCTTCACAATTATAAGTCTTCTTTTAGACTATTTCTTCTGCCTACTGTGTTGAGGTCATCCACCAAAACTAGACATTATTGCTAAGTCTCCCACTTGGTGTTGGAAAGTTATGCTGAAGGTTTTTGTATTTATGCCATATCATGATGCCTTCCATTAGTTTGATAAAACTAATAAACTCATGGGAAGATCACAAACTAGAGACACAAGATTCAGATATCCTTCTATATATTCCTTGCAATCCTACCCTACAAGGGGGTCAACAAAACAATTTTGTAATCCATCAAACACTTGAACATTCTGCATTAGTCACCTGGGGAAATGTATGGCTTGGGGGAAAGGGCATAGTTCCAACAAGAATGCAAATATTAGTGAAGGCTGAGGTTATGAAGTTAAAGGATTTTCTCACAAAGGGTATATTGTCCTGAAGATTTAAATGTCAGAAGCATATGTGGGAAAATACTACATCTCAGTGAAAAAAAAAATGAGCTTTTCATAGAACTAGATGCAAACGGCATTTAGTAAGGAATCCAGAGGGAGAAAGCATAGTCCTGCAAGAGTCCATAACTGGAATATAAACATCATCAGAATGGAAGAAGTGATTAAAAAGGAGAAATCTGAGAATGAAGAAATAGTGTCCTGTCAGACATGGTATATGAGTCTGACTATGCATATTTCAAACTGGTGTGACAGCAAGCATAAAATTGTCCTGATCTGGCCCAGGACAGATACCTTGCCTTGCTGCTGAAGCATATCCTTAGCTCATGCTCACCTTTGATGCCCACCAGGAACCAAATGGCCCCTCCAGACAGATCTCAGCTTGTGCTTTTGCTTTGCATCACTGCGTCCCAGGAGCAGGAATTCACTTTTCCCTTTGCTGAACCTTGCATATCTCTTTACAACCCGGTCTCATCTCTCTGTAGAGCGGCGACTCCTTCCTGAGTATGCACAGCTCTTCCTCTTGTGTCACACATGGACCTGGAGCAGCAGGGGCACTCAGTGCTATCATCTAGGCCAGTTATTAGGATGTAGAGCACTGCTGGTCCCAGCACTCCCCTGAGGAGCTCTGTTTATGAGTGGCAGACAATTTGAGCCATTGACTACCACAAGCCATTCAGACAGTTTTCCATACTCCTCGTAGCCCTTAACATTAAGGGGTGCCAGCCAGGACAAAATGGCACAATTGCATCAAGTATCCTGCTCAAGCCGAGGTAAGTGATATCCTCAGCTCTCTGCTCACCACCAAGCAAGTTGTGTCACCACACATGGTGACAAGAGAGGTCAGGCAGCATATATCATTGGTAAATCTGTATTGGTCTTGTATTGTATTGTATTGTATTGTATTGTATTGTATTGTATTGTATTGTATCGTGTCGTAGGCCATGTTTTTGCCCTCCATGTGCCTGGATAAAATAGCTTGCAAGAGGACCTGTACCATAATTTTCTCAGGGGCATTAGCAAAGCCTGTAACAGCCTTGATTGGCACCTGCTTTGATCTAATTGTGATTTCCTGTGTTTTCAGTTTAACACCACATGTAGTGGAAGGACACAAAGGAAGGGTCTCCTAAGTTTGTGTGTAGCACTTGGCAGGTCATGCAAACTGGCACAGCAAAAGTAGATGCTCCTGTAACACCTAGGAAACTCTTTAGATGTTCATTTGGGTCTTACAGCATTCTGTAGGCTAACTCGAGGAACAGCTGGAGAGCTGTAGAGGGTTTCTTCAAGAGAAAAATCCTGTCTGAACTGTGAAGGATGTCTTCAACCCATGTGTCAGGACAAGCACCAGTGACTGTGCCTCTCCCCTTTTCCCAGCAACTCCACACATATGCAACACTATGATGCCCACAGCAAAGCCCGGCATGCCTGCACAGCCAGCACCTTCACTGCCCTCCACGAGAACATATTCACATCTCCTGGGGAGTTTGGCTGCCTGGGAGTAGTTATTTACATAGGCCAGGGGGTATTACATCTTAAGGTGTCTGTTCAGGATCCAAATCTTGTATCTGAGCACCTTAAAGACTCACAGGGTAAGCATTTGTTTGATAAATGATACCTGGGTGCATTTTCTATAGGACAAGACAAAAGAGGTCTTACAAAATAGCAAAGTCATATTTTGAATATATGCTAAAAGAAGAAATAGATTTGGTAGTATAATATAATAGTAAAGGAATTAAGTTGTGGCTAATACATTTCTACTGTGGTATGTTCCTGCCTTTACTTTTAGGCAAGGTAATTTCACCTTTTACGCTGTACAGTTAGCTCATAAAGTCACAGCAAGGCTACATTCTTTTCCAGAGGAATGTAAATATTAGCTGTTCAATAGTGAGATGGATTCAAGGCCTGTACTGGCACAATCAATATGGTTTATGAATATTTAGTTTATTACTGTCATATATAATTAAATAAATTCAGATAGACTCCTTTAAAAAGCAATTTGCTAAGCCATCCAACAATACAGGAAAAAAAAATACTTTGCTAAGAGGAATAATTTTTTAAAAATATTAGTTATTGGATCAAAATTATGAGAAATATTCTGAATATTATGATATTTCTTCTGAACCTGCAGTTCAATTGCAGCATTGTCTTCAGAAAAATTCTCAACTGTGTAAGGTGGAAAGACAAACAAAAAATGTTATTTTAAATAATAAAGATTTTTTAAATGTAACATACTACAAGAGATATTTCCCATCTAATAGAGGCGGTAAATGAATGCATTACTTAGTTCAGAATGATTTAAATATTGCTTAATAATTAATGTGCCGCTGTGTTAACGTGGCATTATATAGAAGAACTAATTCAAAGGCAATTAGTAGTATTAGATGAAAGTTTTGCTTTGGGGACTTTTATTATTTAGAAGCTATTTTTTACCATCATTTGAAACTCAATAGCTTACAGTTAAGCTTAGGCAGAGATGCATGTACTGAAGCTGGTGAGTCAGAAAAGCAATGCCAGAACAGCTCCCTGAATTCAAGCTGTCCCATGGGTGTGCAAACATTTTCAACACCCCCCACCCCCTCAGCATTGTAGCTAAGATATAAGGGAAGAATGCAGAACCCTGGCATTGTCCTGCACTCCAGTACTATGGAGAGGCAAAGGTTAAGAATGAGGAAAATTAGGCAGACAGCCCTGTGTGGCCCAGAGAAAGACAGGCCATTCTGTGGGGACCAACTCCCCTGACACAGATGGGAGAAAGCTCTATGAATGAGATCATTTTGACTTCCTTTGCTTACATGCTAATGAGCGCTTTCTTCCTTTGAGCCGAAGCAGGTCAGCCGTGCGCGGGGCCCAGCGCCGCACCGCGAGCGCTTCCGAAGGGCCGGCGCCCGGGCTGGGCNGGCGCAGCCTGCAGCCGCGGGGCGAGGGCCCTGCAGCCCACCGCCCTGCTCCCAGACAGATCCCTGCAGACAGCCCATGGCATCCAGGGGAAGCGGGCTGGGTTTCAGACCGCCTTTCAGGAGTTCATTAAATTCACATTTGTGTACGCCAGCCCTCTTCCCACAGCATTCGCTTTGGGCAAGGGGGCAGAACCCCAACTTTTAGGGGTGCTGGGGATCACGTACTAATCACAGTGACCATTCACCAGACAGACACTCTTTCTTCTGCTGTTTCTTTGGTGACTTTTTTTT